CTGGGCTGAAGACCCCGGCCAAATTCGGTTCCCACTTGGCTCCCCCATGGCCCAGCTGAGCGCCCAACCGCTGGGGTCTCCTGGAAGCCCCTCTTCCACTGCCGTCATAGTCAAAGAAGGGCTGACCTGGTCCAGAAACTGGACTCCCGGTGAGTGGTTCCTGGCTGTGGACCCCAAGCAGAGCTGGGCACCTCCGTGCTGCCGGGACTCAGGGCCGAACTTAGGGTGAGGGGCGGGGCTTAGGCCACACCCCTCTCCTCAGCATTTCCTATTGGCTGGCTTTTGTGGATCCCATCCTCAGGCACCTCCCTCTCCCCATGCACACAACGGGGAGCCCGGCCCCATCCCACTGGCTGGCAAGTCACCTGGAGTTCGGCATCGCAGTGCTAAGCCAAAGGCCCCGTTGGGGAACTAGCCACAGGGTGTGGCATAGAACTCATGCGGCTTGGCTCCTTAACTGCTGCTCAGACCCACCCACCCCACGCCCTTCCCAGACCTGGGACTAGGAGAGGACCCAGGCATCCTGGATCCCCACCATCTTCACTGACCCATGTTGAGTAGGGTCCATCTCACCTACCCGCTGTGTCTTCTGTCAGAGTGATGCCACAAGAGTCTTCCCTATTTCGGCAGGTATCTAGATCGCCCGTGCAGCTGTTTCCTGATCCATCGCAAACCTCACACCGCAGACCGGCCCCTGGAGACGGAGAGAGAACATGAGTCCAGTGCAGATGTAACCCCTGACACCGGCTGGGGATCACATATAAATGCCCTTCAAATAGCCTGTCACACAACAGACAATCCCGTTCGAAATGCCCTTGGCCTCTGGCCAGCTCTGAAACGTGCCCAGTCACGACTCGGTTCTAGTGATTTAAACTGTAAATATTTCCTCCCATTTCCACAACTGTTTCACTCGCTGTCACAGGGACTTTGTGACTTCCAGCCCTCTCCTCCTGGGACGTTGTCACTCAGACGCCCCCAGCTCAGCCTCCGTTATTCTGCGGCTGCTTTTCGGTTACATTAACTAACAGTTTCATCCGGCAGGCGGCTCTGAGCTGTTGGCACTTTGGAGAAGTTAGGAAATCAGCCCCTGTAGGAACAGACCCAACTCACCCGTAGCCAGGAGAGCAGCGAGGATGCAGATGGCAAGAGAAGCCTCCATGGTGATGGGGAAACAGTAGATCGGTGCTGGGGTCTGTGATGCAACCAAATCTCCAGTTGGAGGATTTATCACAGACGGGCTGAAATGAGATCAGAAGGGAACTTGCACATGCATAAACCAGTTAACAGTGTGAGTGAAACCACAGAGCCATTTGCCACAATTCTGGGGTAGCTGTGCCTCTCTGACCCCTTAGTGGCTGGTATGTTGGTGGCACCCACACAGAGAAGTCACAGACAAATATCAAATACTCCTGCTGGAAAGTTGCAGTGTAAAATGACTTTCTTTCTGAGAAGTAAGGGATAAGTAAGGAGGAGGGATAGCTCAGTGGTTTGAGCATTGGCCTGCTAAACCCAGGGTTGTGAGCTCAATCGTTGAGGGGGGCCATTTAGGGATGTGGGGCAAAAATCTGTCTGGGGATTGGTCCTGCTTTGAGCAGGGGGTTGACTAGATGATCTCCTGAGGTCCCTTCCAACCCTTACACACGACCCCAAAACAAAGCCGGCTGCTCCCTACCACAGCAGGAGACAGCTTGCCCACTTTGATTCTAGTCCTGGATTCAGGAGGGGACTGGGACCTAGTGGTTAGAGAAGTGGGGCTAGGAGCCAGGACATCTGGGTCCTATCACTGGTCTTGTGGTTGGACCAGGGAGGGATGGGGCCAGGACTCCTGGGTTCTATTCCTGCTCTGAAGATGGAGGAAGGGTCTGGCAGTTAGAGCACCAACAGACCCAATGTGACTTACCAAAACTCCTTAGGGGTTCAGGCTGAGTAATGTTTGCCGGGGGTGGAGCAGATGGATAGTTCAGTGAAGCAGAAAAGATTTGACAATGTCTGTCTCTCTCTTCCCCTTATAGAAGGGCTCTGGTACATGCGCAGATGTAATAGTGAAACTTTAAAATCCCTGCATTCTTCGTTTGCTTCGTTCCATAAGTTCCTAGTCCCCTCGCCAGCACTGCCCCCACTCACCAGTGACACAATTTCGACACACAAGCATGTTGAGAAATTCGCCAGCCTTCCTGCTGAGAAACAACCACAGGGATTCTTGAAACCACATCTCCTTTAAATCTTGGGGGGCAACATGGGGAAGCAGGTCACGCACTGGATGGGGCAGCAGGACTCCTGGGTCCTCTTCCTGGCCTACTAAGGGCATGTGGATCAAGGGTAGGACTCTTGGGTCTCTTTTCCGCCCCGGAAGAAGTGGGGTGAAGTGGTTAGAGGAGTAGGGGCGGGCAGTGGCAGGACTCCTGGGTTCTGCAGAGTGGGGAGTAGGGTGTACCACTTAGAGCAGGGTCGGGTTGCGACTGGCAGTCAGGATTCCTGGGTTCCATAGAAATTTTAGTGGGGTCCAGTAGTTAAAACTGGTTGTCAGGACTCCTGGGTTCTATCCACAGTTCTGGGAAGGGAGTGGGGTCTAGTGGGTTAGAGCTGGCCGGATGCCTGGGTTCTATCCACAGTTCTGGGGTGGGGGAGAGGGACTGGGAGCCAGGACTCCTGGGTTCTAGCTTAATCTCTGTGAGGGGAGTGGGGGCAAGTAGGATAGAGTGGGGGGGAGGGCTGGGAGCCAGGATGCCTGGGTTCTATCCCCAGCTGTTGGGGGTGGGGCCTAGTGAGTTAGAGCAGTGGGGGCTAGGGACTGAGCACTGTCGCTATGCCAACCTACCCCCAGTGTAGAGGTAGCTAGGCTGATGGAAGCTACCATTGCTTGGGGAGGCGGAGGTCCGACAGCCACAGAACACACACACCCCCCCGCCCCGTAACCTGTGTTTACGCTCTGCCGTAGCTGTCCTGCTACAGCACCCATCTCATAGACCCTGCAGCTCAGAGCTGAGCCGCGAGGGCGGACGGGATTGCCTGGTTGCAAACCCAGGGGCAAGGAGGGAAGGTGGGAGCAGCAGTGGTGGGTAGGACCCTGGGAGGAAGCAGGGAGAGAGAGCTTCTTGGGCACAGAGCCCACCAGAAAGGCAGGCGAGGGGATTTCTGAGCATGGAAACGGGCTGCTGCTGTTTGTCCCTGCTGCTCTCCAAGAAGCAGGATACTGAGGGGGTGCGCGGTCTTTGCACTGCAGAGAGACCCGCCTTGCGTCATCGAGTTCTCCTCCTAAAGGAAACAGCCTTGCAGTGTCCCACATGGTGGCTAAACTTCACGGGGCCACAAAGGGGGAAATAACAGCCCTGCAACAAAATACATACAGGCCTAGGGCTAGATTCCTGCCTACTGCAGGCCCCGGACACAGAGATTTAGGCACCGCTGGTATTCACAAACGCCCCCCCCCTCCGGCTTCTGCCAAGCCCTCTGGGCAGCTAAAGTCATTCAGCCTTGAAATTTGTGCCATAAAAGTTCCCTTGATACTCAAGTTTCTGCCCCTGCACACCCTGATGCCTGCGTCCCAGCAAGAGCCAGGAGCCTGGATCTTGCCTGCCAGGCTCAATCCAGGAGGTGCGCTCAG